ACTTAATACCTTTACACTTCAGACTTGGTGATTTTAATTCTAACCATAGAAAGGTAGCTACTGAAGATAACAGTGCCTTTTAGATGTTTACTTTGTCTCTGCTTATGTTTCTATTCTTCTGTTTATTTTTTTTAGGAGCCTCTCCCACCTCCACAGCAGCGCTAAGGATATCTGACTGATGGCTTAGCTGTGAGTGGACCAAAGCCATCAGTCAGACATCCCCCAAGGGCTCTGGGACTGCAAGAGAGCACAGGCTGGGCAGAGGGACCCCCTGAGTGCACAAATCTTGTGCACCATGAAATCAATAAAATATATTTAAAAAAGAAAAGTTTAAAGAAAGAGGCAAAGCTATAAAATAAGTTTCTAGGAGAATGGTAGAATGAACAGTAGTAAGATTGCCAGGCAGCATTAAGTACCTACTTGAAATTCGTTGTTCTAAAGAACTAATCTCTTTGTTGAATTTGGTGATTATCTTTTCCTAAACTTTAGTTTTTTCATAGATTTTTGTTTCCCTGTAGATGTGATCCATTGGTTTCTTTCCTTTGGAGATTCTCCACCATTTATGGTTTGTGGATGGCACTTTTTTTTTTAGTTTTACTGTAGTATTAGAGTGGATGTATATGTTCCTTGTTATCATGTTGATTTAGTCTCTTAGAATTTTTTATCTGCATGAATAATGCGGATTAACATTATAAGAGAAAGGTGGCTGAGTGATTTTTGTTGTTGTTAATGTTTAGCATTGACAAAGAGGAGAAGGGGTTTTTGTTGATATGCCTTTAGAAGCAATGACAGAACTATCCAGATCTCAGACTTTGAATGCATCAGTAGTCAATAAATCTACATATTAGCATATCTGAGTTGTCTATTCATAAAATCACTCTGGAGATTGTGGTTCTTAGCAATTCTTATTTTCCTACTGTTTCCTAGCTGATCTCAGTGAAATAATTTTCAACTCTACTTTCTTTTTTAATAAATATATTTTTATTAAAGAGAGAAGAAG